AGAGAACACAATCTCTGTACACAGTGTAATTACATCTTGGTGTTCTGCAGAGTAACGGCGTATGGCTTAAATGCTATTAATTGTGAGCAGTTTTGTTCCACAGGATGTTGTTCGCTGATAACTACTCAATTAGGGTTATTTTGCAATTAGTCTGCTCACAGTAAATTTATTGCAACCAGAGTCATCTGTGGTGCAGCAAATTAAAATGCTGTCTGGGCTGCATGTGCAGTGGCTCTTACATGCTTCTTAAACTGTGTATTGCTCATCACAGTAACTCTGTCACACTAACGGGTTAGAGCAACAGGAATTCAGCAGCAGCCAGTGTCACTGGGAATCCTGAAACCAGGAGAGAAATACAAATTTGGGGTCCAATGTGTTGTTAGATCAAACCCAGTAAGTCCAAAACCACATCAGAGTTGTGAAAGCTAAAGAGAGGCACACATTTCCATGTTTCTGTGGGCTTACCCATGCATATGGAGCAGGGGAATTTGCTTAGATACAGCTCCCGTCCTTTTAAAATTATACGGAGGACTCTCCCATTTCTGGGCCTTGAAGAACTGCTCTGCTCCACCCCGCAAGTATTTGGCATCTGGAAGGCTTATTCTCTCTCTTCCTGCAAATCAACCTCCTTCTGCTGAGTGCTTTGAAGTATTCAGCTACAAACATTACAGCCACGCACACTGCTATTACCTGTGCAGATTACGCAGTAAACAGAACTCCAGAGGCCTTTTCTCACAGTTTGAAAAGCAAAAGAAGGCTGTGTTTTCTAAAATGAAATGGAAAATTTTCTCCTCGGCAGCCTGTGAGAAACTGAAGTCTCCTGCCTCCGTGTGACAGAGCAGTGTTATCAGGAAGGAGCCCAGCAGAAAGCAGTCTGATCTGCAAAGAGCTTTCAGTGCTCATGGATGATGTGGAAACAGGGTATCTAATTATTTTTCTAGTTTACTTACGAGTTGGGCTTACCCCACAGGGATGAAGGTAGCAGAAAACCTGTTTGATTTATAAAGTAAGAGAAGAGAACAGAATTGCCAAGGGGAAATAAATTGTGGTCCCTTAAGGCTCTCTGCTTCCTCAGGACTCTTCTTTTGCCAGAACTACATTTTAGAAAACACCCCTAAAAAAAATAAAAATATGTATTTTTGGTCTATCTAGGGCCACAGATCTGGGTCAAGCATTAAGCCGGATAGGTAATTAATGATAAGGATGAGGCCAGGGCCTCCCCTGGGGATACAGCAGCCTGGAGAAAGCTGGCCCAGAGGAGGACTGAGGCAGATACGGCTTGGCACCATGCCTGATGACTCACAGACCCGGTGCCAAGGACTAAGGAGGAGCTGCGCTGGGTATCCAAAAAACTCACAGGTCAAGGGATTCAGAGTTGCCATGATCCACATGGGTGTGAAAAACAGAGAATCCAGGAACTGAATCCAGCCAGCAGGCCCCAAGTTGGGCTTTTTTCACTGCAGAAGAAAGAACTTCAAGTAGAAAGATCTGCCTGTGGACAACACAATGCTGATTTTCATATCATATCTGAGAAGGAGTGAACTGCCCAGAAGGATGTCTCTCTGTACCCCGCCCATGATCTGCACAGTACTGGATTTGTCCTCTCCTCATCTAACCTTGTGCTGGACCTAGTTTTCCCCCTTACCTTCACCAACTGCATTTCCCCTCAAAACACACTTCTACAAACTCCGAACACCACGAGTGACTTGCAGGCTGCCTGTTGCCCTGGGCTGAGCTTTGGATAAGGCAGCACCTAAAGCCTCTCACACCGACTCCCTGCTCTGTAGCATTTGTGCCCTGTTCTCAGCACCAGCTTGTTGGCAAACACTTGCAGGGGTGCTCAGCACGTCAGGCACTGCTGAAGTTCCCATGCCCTGTTGTGCTGCAGAACACTGCTGACTCCTGCAACGTCCTCAGTGGGACTGCAGCCCATCCACGCCTGCCCTCATGGAAACAACAAACACTGCATTTCAGCCAGCCAGCCAACATGATACTGCTGGCTTTCTTTCACCTTTCTTTTATAGCTGAAGATGGTTACATTCAACCTTTGTTGCCCCTTGCCTTTGGAAATAAAATACTTAAAGAAAAGAGCTTGTAAGATCCTGCTCCCATTGATAGGCACTCAAGTGAACGTATCGCTTCACGTTTATGACAGCCCAGCCGGATGGAGTCGTGGCTGTGATTGATAGCTACACTTAGCGACTTCGTGGTTTTGATCAGTAAGACGGGATCCAAGGGGATTAAATGCTGGATGACATCTCAATGGAAACTGTAGCACTGGGAACACATTTATACATGGGGATAATGGATGAACGTGCTTCTCCAGTGCATAAATATTTTAACTTTACAGCTCTGCTGAAAGCGGACAGGAAACCTTTTTTCAAACCAAAAGGAATAGCACTTGCATGCTAAGTACAAAGACTCGGAATGCCTGGATGTCTTACTTTTGCTGACAAAAAACATTGAGCTTTCTTGATGCATACATTAGCAAGACCTCTATACACATCTCCCCCTACAGTCCTGACAACATGGTGGCTTATATTCCCAAAACGTGATGGCCAGTGCTCCACAAACATCTGCTAATGAAGTTCAGCTCCTTTGATGCATACCTGGAAGACACCTCTGACGAGGGACGGAGCCAGCCTGTGGGTGCACAACAGCAGCATTTACATTCTGCAGTGGGGAGGAAAGATCTGAGATACAACACACTTAAGCTCGGACTGCGGATCTTTAACAGGGCTGCAAAATTTAATGGACCTACCAAGTCGTATCATAAAATGGGGCAAGACTGATGGCTGAACTGGGACCTATCCTGCAAAGTGCTCTAATGACTACTAGTAGACACTGGGCACCTTTTATTTTGGGGTTCCTACATGTCTGCCTTACTAGCCCTGCATTCAGACAAGTGTCTGGATCTCCTCCACACTTCTGATGTCCCAGTCTGCTTGTGCATTGCCACCTCCTGCATATCAGCTCATGTCCCATGCAATATGCTGCTGCTTTATCTCTTCCCCACAGCAAAGCTCCCAAGCAACCCTGTATGTAACACAGGATGTACAGTTTTCTGCCAAGGAGAGCTGGCTGTTGAAGCAGTAAACTTCAGCTGTCAGCAGGGGCAGCAAGAATAACCTTGAGGCAAAGAAAAGTCAACATTTTCCACAAGAATCCATCTGGCTAAGTAAAGACGTTCCCAAACTATTATTTCTAAACTAGTACCACTACCTAAAATAAAAACTGAAATGAAACTCTGGCACTACTAACCTGAAAAACTGTGGCCACAGTCTTTTTACACTTAGTATTTTAATGTAATATATCCCCATAACTCATAAACTATTAATAAATTTATATGTATTTTAAAAGAAAACCCTATTGGACAGCAACCCCATCTCTCTGGTGGCATTTTGTCCTTGATCCCACAAAGTGTAGGACAGTGTCTGCAAGGTGCTGAGCTCCATCAGGTTTCTCACACACCAGAGCTGAACCTGCTGTCATTAGACAAGAGGGAAGGACACCAAGGACAGGCTTGTCACAGTGGATTTCAGCAGCAGCACCCAAATGGGACCTAGGGGCACCTGGGGGTAACTCACTGATGCTCAGACTCTCACTGATGTCTGATTGTTTATTTTCCCTTTGACTTATTCTGCTTTCCCTGTCTCTCTCCCTGCTTCCCACTGAACACCAGGTCTTCTACCTGCTGCATTAATTCTTTATCTCCAATTGGGCCACACTGTGAAGATTTTCAACATTACCATGATTAGAAAGGAATAAAAATACCAAAAGAGACATGGGAAAAAAAAAAGAAACAACAACAAAAAAGCAAAACACAAAAACTTCACAACAAAATAATCACAGGGGTGGGAAATGGGGTGCTGACAGTGGTCACCACGGTAATATGCATCTAAATTAAAAGTTTAAGCTTCTTGCTAGAGAAATGCTTGTTTGTGAACATTCTCCACGACACCTCCTTTTTTCCCCATGTACTTAACAGGGAGTTTAGCCTCCTAATTTAGCCAAGAGCACCACCATCCCCCTGCTCCCTCCCCACCATGTTGGATCTACCCAATAGCACTCACTGCTGCGACATGGTGCAGTAAACAGGTAAGCCACGAGGGTTAGAGGATGCAAGGAAATATTCCTAACAAAAGGAGCTAAACACCCTCTAAAAAAAGCACTTTACTAAATGGGAAGCTGACAGCTAAATAAACAGTAGCACATGGAGCATTCTTCCTAAAAAGTAGGAATGGGTCAGCTCACACATACAAACCAAAAGCAGGCAGAGAGATACCTGCTGTATCTGGCTGCATGGAAAAACCATAAGCAGTAAAGCAGTAAAGACTCTGGCAACAAGCGGCACCTGACTTTCTACATCAGTAATTTAGAAAATTACTTTTGCTGATCAAAGAACATTAAAAATAGAAGTAAGCTACAAAATTAGATTTTTTTCATACTAAAAAATAAAAAAGGTTATTATACTTCTTACAATCACTTGTGACCAAAATTCTTAGTGGCTCTGGTTGTTAGCTGGACTCCACTGTAGAAACGTTAAAAATGGCCATATGGCCCCAACACCTTTATTTATTGCTCCCATTTATTGGTTAGCATAAGACAGCAAATTCACCATGGTTCTCCAATCCCCACAAAGCAGCCAACTCTTGTGCATTTAACAAGTTGTGCACCTCGCCTATGCTTCTCTATGCTTGTAGATAAAGAACAAAAAGAAGCAGAAGCAGCAGCTGAATACCCAGATCACGTACTGCAATAAAAACCTGGCGTAAGAAAAGTGAAAAGAAATTCAATAAGAATCTACCAAGGATCTTGTAATACGCGTGTAACTCCCTGCTTAAAACATCCACAGACTCTCCCTCGCTTCACAGGCTAGGAAACTACATTAGACATTTCTGCAATAAAGTCAGTTTTTGTTATCAGGAAGCCATTTCAATTACATACAATCCTTCCCCTGAGATACTGCTTTATTTCTCCTTCACCTCCCACCAACTTACCCTCCAGCGCACAGAAACGTGTCACCTTCTCCGGCATCAGCTTCCCGTGCTTGTGCTGGCAGTACACCTCTGCGATCTCCTGCCGGCACTGCTTCGACTTAGCCCGGGACATGGCTGAGATCGCCTCCTTGCCCGTTACCTCGCACTTTGGTGGCTGGTCGTATCGCACCTCAGGGGAGCTGTTTCCACTTTTTGTGAGATGATGCTGCCGGGGAGGCCTGTGAATGTCCTTCAGGTCGCTGTTGCTGCTGCTGTTTTTCCCAGGCTGATCACCCAGCTGCACCACCTCGTTGGAGCTCTTTCCCAGCAGCGAGTTCTCCTTCACTTTCTCCTCTTCCAGTTTCTTTCTTAGATGCTCCTTTTGCTTGCTTAGGGGTTTTTTCACCAGCTCAGACTGGTGTTTTTGTCTCTGAGTCCTGGGAGCAAAGTTACTGTTATCAATGTTTTCAAAGTCCTTGGGAACTGAATTTTCATTATTGCTGTCCGTTCGTGTTTTCTCCTTCGGTCGGTGGGAAAAATAGCCATCCTGTAAATGGGGAAAAAAATTACACTCACTAAGACAGTCACATCCCAAGCATTGCAAGCATTTCACACGTGAAACTTAAATCAGTTACTACCCACCATACAGAAAATAACCAACACCATGTCAGGGTTCATAAAGGAAAATCGAGGCTGAGAAAGCCTGAGCCCCCTGCTTGGGGTGGCGGGGGAGCAGATGGCCCTAAAGATGAACTTGGAGCCAGGCAGGCAAACTGTAAGGCTATATAAATGCTAACTCCAGGGAAGGGAGGTGTGGGACAGCAGTGGGGATGCAGGCACCACATCCTCTTCCAGCTGCAGCAGAGGCTGAGGAGGGCTTAGGCCGAAGTGTGCCCTTCAGCAGCACTTCAGGCACAGGCAGCCTTTGGCACCCTTTCTGCTGGCTTGAGTTGATCATATTCTGGGGATCAGACAGGCATGAAAGAAGTCCTCAGCAAAAGGCTTGAATTAATTTTCAGAATGCACGAAGAACAGTAAAACATTTGACTTCTCCCAAACACTGGTGAGACCTGGCCACTTGGCTCCCTCCAGACCTTTGCAAACCTTTCCTAGCTGGCACACAACCAACAAATTGAACGAATACATTAACAGGAGAAAGAGATCATAACACAGAAAAGAAATAGGAGGACTATCCCAGGGATCCTAGAGAGAACAGAGAACATGGCAATCTCTTCTAGAAAAGATGTGAAAGCCCAAGCCAAGAAGCATTTATCCGTGTAAAGGAACACAAAACAGAAGCCTGTCTGATAGGCAGCCGCAGATGAGGTTGAGCTGCTCCAACCACAGAAACACATCCTCAGCTACCAGGGGACACATTTTTAGACCCAAATATCTCCACTTACTAAAGCATTTAACAGCAGATGAAACAAAGGTGGAGTTGTTACTAAAAATCTGAAGGCAGGGTTATAGATATCAATAAAAACCTTTTTCCGTGCAGTTTTCTTTCCACTCCTGATAGACGAAATAACCAAATTTCAGTGGTTGCCAAATGACAGCATCAGCTACCAACGACTGATGGGAGTCATCCTCAGCAGCTATGAGCCACATTTCATATCCCAAACATTTTACCAACATTACCTAATTGTTTCTCCCACCTCTTCTGTGAGGAGCCATTTAACAGTCAGATTTTACAGACAAAGGAGGCTGAGATAATGACTTGTCCAAGGTCACCCAGTGAGCCAGTATCGCTTTGACCTCCACAGCTCAGCACTGAGAAATGTTTGAATAGTTTATTCACTCAGATGTGTTTTTGTGAGTGACTGAAGTGATGCTCTCACCAAGAATATCTCAGCTTGCAAGTAGCTTTAGCTATCACACATGGAATGCAGAGACTTAAAAAAAAAAAAAACAACAGACAAAATGTTTTTATTTTGGAGGAAGTGCATCTTTCCAAAAAAATGTATGTTTCTAATTCTTAAGGGCAAAAAGCACATGTAAAATCAAGTTCTTTTCTGTGTTTTTATAAAGCAGAAAGAGTGTGTTTTTTTTTAATCTCAGTGAGAGAAAACAAAAATGCACAAAAAAAGCTTCAAGACAGCACTTGATCCCATGAATGATCAAACAAAAAGAAAACATACTTGTCCTATATCGCCAATATATCTTCAAAGAAAAAGACCCCTGAACCCAGCAGCAAACTGCAAATAGAGCAAGACAAATGTGAAGTTTATTAACATCGTTAAAACATCTCTACCAAGGTGCCGCTGAGTAATGGGCTGATGCTTCAGATGTTTGATAGCTGTCATGTTCCTTTGTTGTTCAGCCAACTTGGAAACCTCAGGTTAGCGATGCCAGCAGTACATTTTGACTTGCTTTCGTTTAATGCACTTAGAGCAACATCTTGTATTTGTATACATGAAATAGCTCTGAAAATTCAACTGTCCTGCAGTTATGTTTCTACTCAGCTGCTGCTGGAACTCACCTTTATTTCTCATTGAATACTTAAACACAAGATGCCCTGCACTGCTGCCCAGCCATGGGCACAGCTCAAGCAAATTGCCAGCAGGCACAGAGATGCTGGCAGCAGCTCTGGACATGGCTGCACTGCGGTAGGGAGGGAGCCAGCAAACCCCAGCCCGTTTCAGGAAATGGCTGTTACTGTTCTCAGACCAAAACAGATCTTATCTTTGAGTTCAGTCTTGGGTTTAAGCCACCGTCAGAGAGCAAGTATCTCTCTGTCTGGTGTGCACAGCCACGTTGACACGGGGAGCAGCCCCTTCTTGTGTGGGTGACCGCTAATGTCTTTCACATTTTGGGAATTGGTTGAATGATTAAGATATTTCTCACTTACGTATGTATACACACACATACATACAGCTACATGCCTCATTTAACTTACACAGACTGCAAAGAACCAGAACAAACACTTTGATTATTCTTTAACACATATATAGGATCCCTTTTTGAGGGCAGCAAGCTGTACCCAGCTTGCAGTGAGGCAGGAACCTGGGGCTGTGGCTACCTGGTTGAACCCTAACTACACCAGGTCACCCTGATACCCACACGAGGCTGCAGGATCAGATGGCCAAGTCCTGGTGATGGAGCAGTGCCCCTGAGAGGCTGAAGTCCATGCCTGACCAGCTCTCATGTTGTGGGGCTGGGTACAGCTTGCTGCTCCTCCTTTCCAGCTATCAGCACACTCAAGGCCACCCACTCTGAATCTACAAACTAATAACATTTATTTCATACTTATGAAACAGCCGTGTAGATAGCATCCTGATGGCAACAGCTAATGGGGTGCACAAAAGTGTGAAAGTAAACAGCAGGCTCTTGCCTGGCTTCTTTTTTTTTTCCTTGGTTATATGATGCTTAAATACAAGAGGCATCCTAAGTGCTATTAATTCTATTAATAAAAGTTTTATGCCCCAAGCACAGCCTGAGCTATTCTTTATAAGTAGTCCTTAAACAAGTTGTATACGTGCGAAGGAAAATACAAATAAGCAAACGAGAACTTTATGTGTTGCGTTTCAATGACAGCAGTGTGCAAGAGCTACAGGGACACGGGCCGGCACTAATGGAAGTGCCCTTCTGGTTAGTTTTCCTTGATAATCCAGTTTAAAGCACCTTCCGTCTGTAACTGGAGCATTCTAGCATGCAGCAAGTCAGGGCCAAAATACCTGGCTACAACGATGGGAAAAAGTCCTGTCTTCTCCATTAGCCTCTTTCCAGTGTCTCTAAAGCCGATGCTGTGATAGGATATTTCCGTCCATCTTGGCAACTCTCCCTCTCTCAGCTAAATGATTTTCCTCTCAAAGCTAAAAAAAGTAAATAAAAATCCTAATCTGTAAGGCAAGTGGCATGTTGATAAAGGAGAAAGGAGAGGAGAGCAAACTTCCACCGTTGGTTGGTTGTTTTTAGTGATAAGCTTTCTAACGCCCATGTGAGAAACTGGTGTGAAATTTATCTGCTGGTAGGGGCCTTTCAGCCCCGACCTGATGACCCATCCAGAACTCTGTAGCATGGAAAAGCCTCGAAGGATGAGGTGTGGGCCCATTCCTGGTACAAATAGCATCTGACATGATAGGAGTGGTAAAAAGCAGTGATGAAACCTCAGGAGAAAAGAGCAAAGTAAACAGAGGATTTACTGGCGTACGGTTCACCTCTTTAAACTCTTCTCCCCCTTCAAGTGCTTTCCTCCCCTCTGGGAAATGCTCTTCCAACTTTACACGCTGGAATTTGAGAAGACAAATGTATCATAAACGCTTCAAAGGCAGACACAAAACTGAGCTGGGCTTTACCCGCTCCCTGCCTGGGGGCACAGAGGAGACCACAAAAGCTCACTGCAGAGACAGGAGGAGCCAGGGCTAAAAATACAGCCCAGTCTGCAGAGCAACTGTGCCAACCAGGAGCTGTATATGTATACATATATATATATTTATATATACACTACAACGTATATATGTACACTCTGACAGATGAAAGGGCATGTAACAAATGCCACAGTTGGACACAGACAGATTCCAGCCTCGCACAAGCCCAGGGCTCCCACACCTGCTGACACAGATATTAAATGCCACCAAGCCAGAAATCCCCATTCCTGTAACGCTGCATTTCTTCCTCACAACTTTCACCAGTGCCAGGCACGATCTGTACAGCGTAATGGTTTCAAGATAGGATCCATACGTGACAGCAGGATGCTCGTGGTTTGCAGGGCTGGGGAAACAAAGCCCAATGCTCAGAGCTTGAAAGCCTGAAAGAGCAGCAGCTGCTGACAATAAACTGTGTTCCTCTGCATAGTTTGGGGGCACAAGCTAAAGCAGCACATATGGGGTTAAGATAGGCTTAACTTGCTCTGCAATGTTTATTTTACCATGCTGGATTCATTGCAGCCTTTATGTGCCATGGATGTCTGAGATACTCAAGTCAGAACAAAGTCATCCTGGAGAAGGATGATGGAGAAACCAGGTGCTGCACCATGGCACTGTGGCAGTACCACGGGACGTACGTCAGTGGGCTTGCTGCTTGAAAGGGCATCCAACTTTTGGCTAGTTTTCATTAGCTAGATACCTTCAATACCTTCTCATTGATCTGTGTTTGCAAACCACATTGAATTCACTAAAAAAAAAAAAATGGAAAATTAAACCAGGACTAAATTAGGAGAGCCTATTAATACAGCCTGTATGTAACCGCAGACAAAGATCAAAGCCATTTTTCAAGCCAACACCTAACAATGCTATTTTTTTTTGTCATAGCACAAACCTAATCTCACTCGCAGAATGCTCAGAAAAAACATTATGAAAATCACCATTTTGGTCGTTGTAAGGGAGTAATTTCCTGGTACAGCCACAGATCAAAATAGGCTCTACCCAAAACCACCTAATTCGAGAGGGCTCCCCTATAATAATCACTGAGCATTACAGGCTTCAAACACAACGCATGCCGCCCAAGAGCCCAGGTATTTGACCTGCATTTCCATTACCCTCCTGGCAAAACACTCCCTTGCTGGCTGATCCCAGCCGTTCTTCTCCAGCAGCCTGGGAGCACGGCGGC